CTGGGAATTATATTAACATCATCTTAGCTATAGCTGAGCTTCCCTCTTCCCCGTAGCAAACTATATTCATGCTCATTTTTGTTGTTGTTAGTCGTGGGGCTTGAACTATGGGCCTGGGTACTATCCCTATCCCTCAGCTCTTCAGCTCAAGGTGAGCGCTCTACCATTTGAGCCATAGCACCATTTCCGGTTTTCTGGTGGTTTGGACTTTCCTGCCCAGGCTGGCTTTGAACTGAGATCCTCAGATCTCAGCCTCCTGAGTAGCTAGGATTACAGGCGTGAGCCACTGGTGCCGCCCGGCTCCACATTCATTTTTTATTACTATCTTTTCCTGATGTTCCTAATTGATTATCATGTAGAAACTTTGCATCTGTTTTCAAATGAGAAATTGGCCTGTGATTTTTATTTTTTACTATTCATGTTCAGCTTCAATATTAGGATAACACTGGCCTTGCAGAATAAGTTGGAAAGCCTTTAATCTTTCCCTATGGTCTGGACCAATATAAGTGACAGGAATTATTTAACACAACTTGTTATTCAGGCTATGTGGGTTGGACTTCCTTAGTTTCTGAGCACCCTTCAAATCCTTTTGAACAATTAACATTTCTCATTGTCTCCTCATTTGGACTTTCAAGTATATTGGAGATTATTTAATAGACTTTTTGTTATCATTTAGGTTTATGAAGTGTTAGCTTTTCTGTCTCTAGTTCTTTCTCTCTCTCTCTCTCTCTCTCTCAAAGAGGTTAATTATGTTATTCAATCTGGTCAAAAATTCCTATTCAATCCTTCTACTTCAGGTACACATCACCATACCCAGCTCTAGAGTCATAGCCTTTTTTTTTTTTAAATTGCAGTGTAGTTATATTTTCCTTACTCATTTGTTTTCTTTTTTTTTTCTTTTTTCCCAAGGCTGGGACTTGAACTCAGTATCGGATGTTTTTACTTATTGGCTGGTGCTTTACCACCTGAACTATGCCTCCAATCTCCATTATTTTCATAGAGTTTTTATTTTTTAAAGTAAGTTTAGTTCTGTAGTTTATTTATTCCCCTTGCTCCTTACTTTATTTTATATTTTAGTCTTGGTTTATTTTCTAATAAGTGATACAAAACATCAGAGTTTTGTATGGTTCCTTGTCCCCTGGTCCATTGTCAAATCCTGCCAGCCTCTACCTTGCTATGCCCACAGAACGTAGGGACAGGATGCCACTACTGCACAGGCACGGCAGCACAGCCATTGTTGTCTCATCTGAATGGTTGTGACATCCTTTTCCTGGGTCTCCTGCTTCCAGGCTGTGCTCACTACAATAGCCTGTGTGTGCCATCCTCGTAGATGGAAAGCTATTCCACTTTTTATTTTTTTTAACTGGCTTTGAACTCAGGGTCTTACTTGCTAGACAGGTGTGTACTACCCTGAGTCACCTCCAACCCATAAGTTGGGAGAGCTTTAAGGCTCACTTTTTTTTTTTTGTTCTGGTATTGGGGCTTGAACTCAGGGCCTGGGAGCTAGCTGTCCCTTAGCTTTTTCCATTCAAGGCTGATTGACACTCTACCTTTTAGCCACAGTTCCACTTCTAGCTTCTGACTTCCATAATTGCTTCAAATCCAGAACTCAAGAAGCCACGCTTGGTGAGTAACTTAGTCTCCCACCTGAGGTAAAGTTTGGACTTAGGGGTTTATAATCCAACTGTTTGTTTTTCACAAAGCCTCCTATTTTTAGCCATTGGGCTTGGGACTAGGATGGCCCCCTTAATGACAAGTACCCTTGCTTTCCTGTGATTAGGCACTTTTGGTCTTGGTTGCCTCTTCTAGTGCTGCTTCTTTTTTTTTCTTTTGGTCGGGTTGTGGGGCCTGAACTCTGGGCCTGGGCACTGTCCCTCAGCTCTTCAGCTCAAGGCTAGTGCTCTACCATTTGAGCTCAGCGCCACTTCTGGCTTTTTTCTTTTTGCTTATGTGGTGCTGAGGAATCAAACCCAGGACCTCATGCATGCAAGGCAAGCGCTCTACCACTGAGCCACCTTTCCAGCCCTTCTAGTGCTTCTTGAAGGGCTGTAGATGACTGTTTCCTAGAGGTGGTGTTCCTATGAATGGTTGAACCTCCTGTGGAGCCCAGCAGAATTCTGGAGAATAGGAGCCTAGAGTGTGGGAGAATCCTCAAGATTACAGTTTGCTCTTCCAGATCCCTTCCCAGCCCTGAATGCAGAGTGGAATTGGACCATGGTTCTTATGCTCACCTAAGCCTGGCTCTTGCACTTTGAGAAAAAGCTGTTAGTGCCTACAGTGCCTCTAATGTCCCCATTTGTTGACAGACAAGAAGCATCTTTGCTGGAGCCTCTGGTGTCTTCTGAAGGCTCAGGAGTCCTTGCCTCTGCCTTCCAGGTCCTTTGGAGCCAGACATTTGCTACTGTGTTGGAGTCTTTATTCAGAGTGGTGCACTGGCATTGGTCATGTCCTCGGAGGAGGGAGGTACACTGAAGAGCACTGCTGTCTGTATGGAAGCAGCTCTGTACGTAAGGATGGAGCTGCCTCTGATGCCAGGCTTCCAGGGCTCCTCTGTAGACTCCATGTACAAGCTCATGGGCACGATGAAGTCCAAGTCCTATGGGTACAGAGGAGATTCCTGCAGCTGGCCAGTTGCCCTCACCTGGCCGTCGTATTGATTTTTATATCCATTCTCTTTTGCTTGATTTTTTTTTTTATTTTCCCAGCCTGTATAGCCCATGTTGGGATTTCTAGTAGTGACCCCTCCCCTTCCTTGTTCAGACTCTGTACAAATGAGTAGAACAGAAATGCAGCCTGGATGTGAGAATGCCCCCTTAGTGGAGGAGAGCCACGTTAGGGGATGTGCTTCGATGGGCTTCTTTTGAGCCCTAGCAGGGCTCTGGAGAGCAGAGAACATGGACTTGCTTCTAACCATGCAGTGGTACATGCCTTTAATTCTCCCTACTTTGCTTCAATAGCTTGCGTTTTCTGGCATGGTTTTCTGTGTCATTCTCCCATTTGCCCAGGTACTCTCATAACCAGTAGTAGGCATGAATATTCTTTTTTTTTTTTTTTTGTCGTCATGGGGCTTGAACTCTGGGCCTGGGCGCTGTCCTTCAGCTCTTCAGCTCAAGGCGAGCACTCTACCACTTGAGCTACAGCGCCACTATGAATATTCTTAATGACTAAGACTTCTACATAATCTGCACACACCCACAAGCAGAGTCACCTGGATGTAACTATCCCAGGACAACTGTCCTACTCTTGTCCTGAGACAAACTTTGCTATGGGCCTTCTTGGAATGTGATGAAAGTCAATTCAGCCTTGTCCAGAGAAGTGTAGACAACAGCCTTTTTCAGGTAAAGGGTGAATTCTGCATCCGGAGTGGGAGCTTGGCATCCAGCTGGCAGGGAGCCTTGGACAGCTGCTGCTGGAGACTGGTTCATGGCTGTTGGACCCCAGCTGTGAGTTTTTGTGCCTGAAACATGTGGTATAAACATGTTTGACACGAGCTTATCCTGTAGCTCTGAGACTTACATTTAAGAACAATTTGATTTTATCACCATATGAGCGCAGATGTAGTTTGTAGATATGTTTTGTCTTTTATTTCAAAAAGTATTTATTTTCCATGGTCAGTATAATTCTTCTTGGGGAACTTCAGCCTTTGATCTGGACTGGAAAAAATGTGACCATTTTAAGACCTCTTAAAACACGTCTTCGGATTTATTGTGTGTACAAATGGAAATTCAGATAATAGCTCTGTTCTTAGCTGAAGAAAAACAGGAAAAGAAAATAAATTTCTCGTTACTTGGAATGATAAACACCGTGAAGCGTGTGCTGTATATCCTGGCAACAGAAATTCAAGGTCGGAAATAATTCCTTTCCTCCTGAGTCTGCCTTCAGCCTCCCGAGGACTGCTGTGGCTGAAATTCGCTACTAATTGTAGCCATAATTTTAGCATGCAATTAAACACATGATTTCCTTCCCAGCTGATGTCTTTTTAGTGAGTGTGACATGGGTAAAACAAAAGCTCTGTTGATTTGAGCGGCCACTTTAATCTGATAGGAGGTCATGGAGAGTCACCATTATTATTTGGGTATGTTCAGCTCCCCAGTGGGAGCTAGATTAATCTTGCCCATAAAATTGGTGAACAGCTTGGCTGCTTCTAGTATAATGCAGTGTTACTTACTATCTGTGGATGGAAGAAAACCAATGGTCGATGTGTCTGTTTTGCCAAATCCATTTGAGATTGGGGATCATGGGAGAGAGTAAACTAGTTGGAGTGAATCAGGTGGAAATTGTGGGGTTGTGGTAGGAGCAGAGGCTAATGGAAGTCAGGTTCAGGAGCTCTGGTATCTGAGGGGCCCTAAGGCATGAGATCAGCCCAACTTCTTCTTCCTCCTTCCTTCTTCCTTCTTCTTCTTCCTTCCTCCTTCTTCCTCCTCCTCTTTCTTCCTTTTTTTTGTTGGCTGTTGGTCTTGAACTCTGGCTCTGGGCGCTGTCCTTTAGCTCTTCAGCTCAAGGCAAGCATTCTACCACTGGAGCCATAGTGCTTCTGGTTTTCTGGTGGTTAATTGGAGGTAAGAGTTTTATGGACTTTCCTGCCGGGGCTGGCTTTGAACCGTGATCCTCAGATCTCTGCCTTCTGAGTAGCTAGGATTACAGCATGAACCACCAGCGCCTGGCTCAGCCCACTTCTTAGGCCTGAGCACAGAGCCTCTTCATGGATGGAGGCAGAGGGCTTTACTGGCTATGGTGCTAACCTGGTTTCCCGTAGTGGGTATGCCAGCTTACTATCCACCATGCACCTGACATCTGATCTATGTTCTTTCCCACCTCTGGTGTTTACAGGCCTTTCTTTCTTCCCAGGTGTCTTGGGCAGGCTGTAGCATTCTCCTCACTCCCCTAAGGTCAACTGCCTTGTCTTCCCCAGGTTTCTGATTCTATTGATGTGCATGTGCTTTTTAGAAAGGATAACTCTGTGTTGCCAGCTCTTGTAGCTTTTTGAATTGTTCTTTCAGATGGCAAGTTTGGTGCCTATATGCAAGTGCACATTCAGAATGATGGGCCTGTGACTATAGAACTGGAATCCCCAGCTCCTGGTGCTGCTACTTCTGACCCAAAGCAGGTAAGCCTCAAGTCAGGGGCCTGGGCCAGTCTCCTGGGTACCAGCAACATGTCTTGGCTTCAGGTAAGGACTGAGTAGTTCTCAGTCTGATATGGAGGACATACATTAGTCATTGTAACCTCACATTTATTTTAATATCTTTCTTCCCCAAGAATGAATGTTTGTGCTATAACTCCTTAGTATAGTCAGCTGGAATCATGAGGAGAAAATGTCCTTTGACTGGGTTCCCATTCCTGGGCCAAGTGCTATAGCATCTACCTGCCACTAGGTGGCAGCAGAGCAGCAGCTCTGGCTGATTCACCCATTCAGAACCATTTATTTACCTGAAATGTTTTTTTTTTTTCTTTTTCTTTTTGCTTATGTGGTGCTGAGGAATCAAACCCAGGGCCTCCTGCCTGCAAGGCAAGTGCTCTACCACTGAGCCACCTTCCCAGCCCTATTTACCTGAAATGTTTTGTCCCAAGTGTGGGTTGATGAGCCACCCAAGGTTCTTTGTAAATCCTCATTGTGACTTGGAGTTACTGCCAACTCTGTAAGCTTTCAGAAAAAAAAAGGCAAGCAGAGAAAGGAGGTGTGTGATAGTCCTTGAAAAATATGTAGTCTTATTTAATATTCTTTTAAAAGCTTTAGTTAATGCACACACTTGATAGAGACACATGAGCCTGGAAGGCAGAGAAGTAGTAACTAAAGGGATGCTCCTGTTCCTGTCTCCTTGCTTCCTGTCTTGTAAGATGTAGCCACATGGGTGACACATGAGAAAGTTGGCTGTGTAACTGGTACTAAACTTTTGTTTTTGTTTTTGTTTCCCTTGTTGGTCATGGGGACTTGAACTCAGGGCCTGGGCTCTGTTCCCAAAGTTTTTTTGTTTTTGTTTTTGTTTTTTTTTTTTACTCAGAGCTAGCGCTCTACCACTTAGAGCTACAGCCCCACTTCTAGTTTTCAGGTGATTAACTGGAGATAAAAATCTCAAGGACTTTCTACCTGGGCTGGCTTTGAACCATATAGCTAAGCCATGCTTGTTTGTTTTAAACTGAATCAGAGCCTTTCTTATTGATGCACTGTGGCTCAAGTGGTCAAGTGCTAGCCTTGAACAAAAGAAGTTCAGGGACAGTGCCTAGGGCCTAAATTCAAGCCCCAGGACCAACAAAAAAATGTGAAAAATTCACATGAAATGTAGTCTTTTAAAAAACTTTAGTGTCTTATAAACTGTAGCACATTGATTAAGACATTGAAATTAACATGGATACAATATCATTAACTGCATTATAAATCTTAATTTCATATATGTGTGTGTGTGTGTGTGTTATTAGGGTTTGAACTCAGGGTCTTGTGGTTGCTAGGCAGGTGCTGTATCAGTTGAGTCATGCATTTAGCAAGCCTTTATTCATCCTAAATATTTTTCTGGAAATACCTTATGCCTTTGGAATCCTCAGCCATCTTTCAATGATCACCTTCTTGTTTAGGTTAAAGGGTATAAAGATGTTACCTAAGATGAGTAAATTTAGAGATGTAATGCATAATGTGGGTATTAGTGAACATCATCATGTATCCTGGACATGCTAAGAATCGTCTTTTGGTATAGATGATGAATATGTGACTTGATTGTATTTACTTCACTCTGTGTATATTAAAATGTCATGTTGAGACTGGGCACTGCTGGTTCATGCCTATAATCTTAGCTTTAGGAGGCTGAGACCTGGAAGATTGAGGTTTGAAGCCAGCCTTGGCAAAAATTTGAGAGATTCTAGCTCTAAATATCCAGCAAAAAGCCAGGCTGGAAGCATGGTTCAAGTGGTAGAGTGTTGGCTCTAAGCAAGTAAGGTGATCAAGGATGAATTTAAAACACAGTACCAGTTCCAGACCCCCCCAAAATCATGTTGTACACCTGAAACATACAAGAAAACAACCAGAATTTCCAGAATTAAACCCCAAATGACATTTTTTCTCCCAAATAACATTTCTTAACAGGAAATTTTGACTTGTTAGGGTTACAAAAGACATCTAGTTATTTTTGAATCTTAAAGGAATTTTCTGTTAACTGCATGGATTTTTCATTAATTTTCCTTATCCTAGAAATTCATGCCCATCTGTATCTTCTGGCACTCCAGTAGGTGGCAGTGAACAGGTACAGAAAGGGTCTTGGTGACTAGTTCAGACTCTACCTATGGCCTCCTTCCACCTTTCCCTTTCATGAGAGGGGCTCCTTTTGAAAGCTGACAGCTGCTTGGCTTGCTTTTGTGAGGATAAGAGAGGACAGCCAAATTTATTTTGCTGATAAATAAATGTGTTTTTGTCAAGCTAGCTTTTAATTCTAAGTGTTTTATTTCCCTGTTATATTCCAAACAGTTATTATTATGTTACAGAAATAGGATTCTTTTGGCAAGTTTCTGTATTACATAAAAATAGTTTTTTTGGCTAGTTTTAGAATATAGGCTTTTAAAATACATTTTTAATTGTAAAAATAGTGTACAGAGGGGTTACAGTTACATGAGTAAGGTAATGAGTACATTTCCTATCGAGCATTGTTACCTCCTCCTTTGTTTTTCCCCTACCATCTTTTCCCTTCCCACTTCCCCAACTCCTCCCTCCCTACCCCCCACAAATTGCAAAGTTTGTTTTCAACTTAGTGTCTTGTACATGGTTACAATAGGTCAACCTGTATCCCTATTTAAGCATTTTGTTTTTTCCATTCCCCTCCCCAAATTAGAAAAGTATATATACAAGATGGAGGGCACCGGAATCAAATACATTGAAAACAGGGGAAGAATATACAAAAGAAAATGGGGGAAGAACATACAAAAGAAAAAAAAGCACATAGTACATTATAAGTACATTAAAAACAATAGTAAGAAAGAAAAAAACCCATGTATGTCCCTGTCTTGGGATTCATTTTACTTAACATTATCTTGTATGGTCATATGTACATAGCTTTTGATCTTTTCTGCTTGTCTTAGACATATACTAGTTATTGCAAATAAGGGAAACCATGGGACCTATGTTTCTTTGGGCCTGGCTTACTTCACTTCATATAATTTTTTCCAAGTCTTTCCATTTCCTAGCAAATGGGGTGATGTCATTCTTTCTGATGGAGACATAGAATTCCATTGTGTATATATACCACATTTTCTTGATCCACTCATCTACTGAGGGGCATCTGGGTTGGTTCCATAGCTTAGCTATGGTAAATAATGCTGCGATAAACATAGTTGTGCTGGTAGCTTTAGTGTACCCTTGTTTGTGATCGTTTGGGTAAATGCCCAAAAGTGGGATTGCTGGGTCATAGGGGAGCTCTATGTGGAGTCTTTTGAGAAACCTCCATACTCCTTTCCAGAGTGGTTGAACAAGTTTACAATCCTACCAACAATGCAGTAGGGTTCCCTTTTGGTTACATCCCCTCCAGCATCTGTTGTTATTAGATTTCTTGATTATAGCCATAGAATATAGCCTTTTAAATCTATCTTTGATAAACAATATGTATGTGTATATATGTGTGCGTGCATGCACACTTTATGGTATATTAGGCATGTTCAACATGGTAAGGAGAGAAAAACATACTGACCCTCAGTTGCTGCTCCAAGGATGGATTTAGGGCAACATAAACCTGAAAGGTCAATGACAGGGAATGAACATGGTCACAGATCATCCAGACCCGGCTCTTCCTTCACACCCTTCCACAAGCGTGTAGATAACACTTAGCAATATCTGAGTGACTGTACCTCTGCCACACTCCTGTCTGTCCTGTGAGGTTCCTTCTTTTCTTTCCCAATGTTGTACCTGCTCTTGCCTCCTCTTCAGTCCAAGAATAGGTGGGCACACTCTTTTTTTGCTATTTTTCAGCAGATCTTCCCAGCATCTTCTCCTTGGAGGAGGAAAGGCTCTACTCCCGATTCCAAGAAAGCCCTCCTCCCAGCCACTATCACATTGCCAGCACTCCTAAAGCATATGCTCCTGGGTCTTGTTCATTGTGATGCCTTACAAGTGTGCCTGGGTGTTGTCACTTGGCTAGAAGTGGGACCTTGATGTGCTGTGGCCATGGGGCTGGGCTGTCTGTGACTGTCCTGGGTTCTAAGATGGCTAGTGACATTGCTTCTGCCGAGCTTAGCTGGGTAAGCCTCCAAGGAGACTGGAGGCTTCAACTAGTTCTTAGGATGAAGAGAAGAGGAGGTTAGGGAGGGGAGGGGGGTGAGAAGCTGTAGAGAGGGAAGTTAGGAGTAAGGAAGAGGAGAGGAGAAGGTAATCTCAGTTATTTTCAAACTGTACTTCAAACCCAGGGAGCTTCATATTTTCAAGAGTTTCAGGTCTTTACTAATGGGCAAAAAAGCTGCTGTTGGTGAATACTGGGCTGGTAAGGCAACCAGTGGGTTGGCTGCCTTAACTAGATCTCTGGTGCTTTCTGTATCTGGCCACTGTAGCCGTGTGTGTTTCTCATGGCTGTATCAGTCACATAGGCTCACATATTTAGGCTACAATATGTCATACCAGTAAGAAGAGGCTAAAAGAGCATTCGGTTCTTGCTCTGAAGGACTACTTCCAAATGGAATAGGAAGTAGTAGCACTAGCAGAGCCACTGAACCAGAGCTGTTCATGTAAGAGCACAGTTCTGGAGGATATAGCCTGGCAGTTGCCTAGTGCATGTTCTGTGGCATGCCTGTTTTACCAGTGGCTACATTGTGTGGAGATTGAGGCAGACCTGAGGGAAATGTGTACGGCAGAGCAGGGCATATAGGGCCTCATTCATCTTTCTTCATTTATAGTTCTGGTGACAGGAACAGCCCTTTCAGTAATATGTGCTGTGGAATCCAGGTGACACAAAGGATGGACTAGGACACAGGTGGCCCTGTTGCATGGTCCGAATGGCCTGTTCATTGCTGTAACTTCATTTTGAGGGACAGAGTTAATGAGAAGTGATCTGAACAGAAGGGAGGTGCTAATCAGTTTGCATTTTCTCCTAGAAGGTTTATTTAAATAGATTAGTTTCTCTTTTCACTCTTCTAAAATTC